GCTGTGAAGACGCTTGTGGGCGTTCCTACTGCTGTAGCTCTAATGTTATTGGTAGACTGCACGTCTGGACATATCTGGACATATAAAATGCAATCACAAACTGTATATTGCCGGTAAAACTAAGATATCATTCTATTATGACTAGGAATTAGACTTAAAAGAAATAAAAGTACCATTCTGCTGTTGGAGAGTGTTGTTATATAAACTACAGCAGTGCTCGTGCATTAAATCATTAACCGGTGCTAAACTGCTCACTGCATCATGATGTAATTAACAACTCCAACCATCAATGTATGAATCAAACTCACTTAGACAGCCAACGGTTTCTTTTCTACGCGTCATATTTTATATCCATGTATGTGGTTACAGTAAAATCATATAAAACAGTGAAATCGCTCCGGAAATCTGTCCTGTCTTGCCGTCACTCGAGACGGTGACGTGTGAGCGCCACTGACAGATTCTTCACTCCTATTGGTTGTCGCTGGCGAAATTCGCTGTTAATTTGCATAAAGTTAAACATTTCTTAACTTTTGTCGCTTGACTCGCATCGCTTGACACGCCCACATTCGGTCGCCAACAGTCACTGTCGCTCGTGTCGCCAGAAGTCGCCAGCTCTCCATTGAAAATTAATGGGAGCATGTCGCTTTGTCGCTGTGTGTCGCTGGCAGTGTGAACGGGGCTTCAGCCTGCTCGTCGCCGTGGGCTGGGCGGAGAATCTTTTGTTTCCTTTTCTTTTTGTTCCGCCGCTGGCTCAACGGTCAGCGGTAATCACATTGTCAAAGAAAGAGCAGTTTCCTATTCCTCCGGGTTGCAAGGCTCGTGGGTCGACAGTGAGCGACGCACCGCTTCCTCACTCTTACCCACGACACCCCGTATCGCCAGTGGCCGAGAAGTCGCGGTTCGGAGACGCAACGCCTCTCCACGCGGTTACACTCCCGAGTCGGGCATGGTGCCGCGGTACACATCGTGTCACCATCAAACCGATGTGTCGCCGCCTATTCAGCCCCTGGTCGGACCTTGCTTTTCTACGGGCCGGGGTGCCCTTAGAACAAGTGACACGACA